GATTCTCCTGCCTCAGTCTCCCGAGTGCTGGGATTCCAGGTGTGCACCACCATGCCCAGCTTTAAAAATTATTATTATTATTTTGGCAGTACTGCAAGTTGAACTCAGAGGCTTCCACTTGCTAGGCAGGATCTCTATCGCTTGAGGCATGTACCCAGCCCTTTTTTCTTTAGTTTATTTTTACATCGGGTCTCACACTTTCTGCCCAGAGCCAGCCTCCAGCATCTTCATACCTACACTTCCTGCATACCTCATATTACGGACGTAAACCATCATGCCTGGGTTATTTATTGAGATGGGGTATCACTAACTTTTTGTGTGGGCTGGCCTTGAACTTTGATCATCCTGATCTCTGCCTCCTGAGTAGTTGGGATTACAGGCGTGAGCCATCATATTTCCATTATTTATTTACTTATTTTTATTTTGTGGTGCTGAGGAGCAAACCCAGGGCCTCATGAATGCTAGGCAAGCACTCTGTCACTCCTAGTCCAAGGGAAGATTCTTCTTCTCTTTTTCCTCCTCTTCCCCCTCCTTTTTGCTGTACTGAGGTTTGAATTTAGCACTTTGCACTTGCAAAGCTGGCACTCTACCATTTCAGACATGCCTTCAGTTCCCCAGGACTTCTTGAAAAACATAATTCCATTTGAGCCACTCCACCAGTCCTGTTTTGTGTTGGGTATTTTCAAGATAGGGTCTTGAAAACTATTTGCCTGGGCTGGCTTCAAACCTTGATCCTCCTGATCTCTGCTTCCTGAGCCGCTAGGATTACAGATGTGAGCCACTGGTGCCCTCCCTTACTTTTTTGACAGGTCTCACTGTGTAGCCCATGTTGTCCCGGAATTTGAGAACCTCTTGCCTCCACCCCCCACATGTTGGGATTCCAGGTGTGTTCCACCACACCCGGCTCAAAGACTAATTTCTTTGCTTTCTTTTTGATAAGATAAGAAGTCACAATTGCAATCTCCCATGTTTTCCACAGGCCCAGTCCCTGAATATCTAAAGATACTAATCTGTTTGTGAGACAAGTGTCACAAATATCAAAGTAAATGAAGTGACTCAATCAATTTGAGCAGGGTGGTAGTAGAGTTTTCCATGTCATGCGTATATTGACTTCATTTGGCTATTGGGATATCTTAAATTACGTGCATGTTAGGTCAGTCTATCTCTTTATGAGCTACTAGAGAACACAGGCCAATGCTCAGTTTCCTTGTTTGTGTCAATGGCCTTACCTTTCCCTCAGACACCTATGCTGGGAAGTGTTCTTGTCATCTTTGATTTATTCACTGATTTATGACTTTAAAATGCCACTTGTACCCTTCTTGTACTCACTTCCTTTCTCTCTCATTCTCTCTCTTTTTCTTTCTTTCTCTTTCTTCCTTTTTTCTTTCTTTCTTTCTTCCTTCCTTCCCTCCTTCCCATCCCCCCCTTCCTTTCACTCTTTGTCTATCTCTCCCTCTCTTTTTCTCCCACCCTCCTTTCTTTTTTTTTTTTTCAGATGGGGGAGTCTCACTATGTAGCCTGGTCTAGCCTTGAACTTGTGATCTTCTTGACTCAGAGTCCTAAGTGCTAGGATTATAGGTTTGTACTACCATTCTTGGTTTATACTTGCTGTTCTTTTTTTGAGGGGAGATACAGGGTCTCATAAGGAAGCACAGATTGGCTTGGAAGTTACTGCATAGCCCAGTGCTAGTCTTAAACTCATGATCCTCTTGCCTCAGCCTTCTGAGTGCTGGCATTACAGAGTACTATCATGTCTTATACCTGATATTTGTGTATGTATATATGGTACGTGTGTGTGTGGTACTGGGGTTTGAACTCAGGACCTCCAGCTTGCTAGGCAGGCTCTACAACTTGAGCTACATTCCCAGTTCCATATTCTTGCTATTCTTACTGTGACAACTCTAGTGCATATATACTTATTGTGATCCTTCTATCTGTCCATCCTCCCTTCTTTACATCCATTTCTCATGAGTTTCATAATCTTATTTTCAAGAAGATTTGAAAGTATTAATCAAGTAAAACAATGTGAAGCTGGATAATTAAAAAGAGAATAGAGAGGGCCCAAAGCAATTGCTCTTACCCTTGGATGCACTAGAATCAGCAGAGAATGTTTGATAACTACTGATGTCCACGACTACTCCCAGAAATTTGAGTTCAAGTGACCTGAAGTTCCCTAGATTACTCTAATGTATAGCAAAAGTTAAGAACACAAGGAAGTGGAAATGAGGGAGTGAATCTCTATTACCAGCCACTTGATACAAGCTGATTAAACATTTGAATCCTGAGTATACCTGCAGAGGCAAAAGGGATGTAAGCTGTGTTACACACTTCTCATTGTCAGAGGAAACATTTTTCATCCCCAGAGGTAAATGCTAAGAGAACTATTTTGTGTGTGTCCTAGTAAATCCTAATACCTAACTCTCACTGAGTGCTTATCGTGTGCTAAGCATTATTGCAACTGCAGGAATTTCTCCCTTTTAACCCCCATAACACACCTGTGTGGTGGTATATTATTAACCTCACGTTGCCATCGAGGAAACATTGGACTTTGGGAAGATAAATGAATTGCCAGTTTTTAGACACAGCTGTTTAACTACAGAACCCGGTTCTCAACCACATCACCATCCTGCCTATAAGGTGAATACACTGAGCAATGCTTCCAATCAAATTTTTGCAAAAGACAGAATGGTGTTCAAATGGTGATTATTGTAAAATAAAGGCTGAAGGTACAACTGTAAGCAATTTAACAAAAGCATTTTTGCAAGACATTGATGATGATATTTTGCTTTCTGGTAGCTAAATCACTATAGGGAGAGCCACTTGGGCGCTTCTAGGAGGCTGGGTTGTCACACTATCCACTGGGCTTCTGGGAGACTGGGTTGTCACCCTATCTGCTGGGGCTTCTGGGAAACTGGATTGTCACCCTGTCCACTGGGGCTTCTGGAAGACTGGATGGTCACCCTGTCTGCTGGAGCTTCTGGAAAATTGGGTTGTCACCCTATTTGCTGGGACTTCTGGAAGACTGGATTGTTACCCTATCCACTCTCCCACAGGTAAAGGCACAGTGCACCAACACATAGGGAGCACGGGTACAGGATGAACATGGACAGGGCCAAAAAGCATGTGTCTTTCTGTGAGTCAAGTCTGTAGGACCCAGGCTAGCAGGAAGTGGAGGGTGGGGTAGAACATCAAAAAAGCCTTCCTGCTTGGGAAGTTAGGGCTGGGCAATGTAAGGAATGTGGGTTGGATGGGACAAGAGAAAGTCCTACACTGAGTCAAAGCAGAAATGGATGAAGTGTGTGGTTTCAGGACCAGGGATATACACCTAGGTGGTGTTGGAGGGAGAGTGCAGCTATTTTAAAGATGAGAGAAATTTGGCTAGGGCTGTAGGTCAGTAGTAGAGTGCTTACCCAGCAAGGCAAAAAAAAAAAAAAAGTGGGGAAGATGTAGGTGCTTGCTGGGCCATGGGAACTCAGGTTTATGTTCTCTAACAAAGGCTGGAGGTAGAAATACAGAACTTTCTGTTGCTAAATAAAATGACAACTTCTTATGTCACTCCTGAGTGGTCACCCTTCTGCTGAAACGTGGCTATCAGGATGACTGCATTCTGATTAATGCTACCCAGAATGTCAAAAAATCTGTTACTTTTTGAGCATGTCAAGAACTGTATCAAGGGCTCTACTTGCATACTTTACTCTAAACTCCCAACTGGGCTTCGTCCTATATTCCCAAATTGGACCTGCCCATCTTCAACATCTTCTGACCAAATGGTGAGTTGTACTCACTGCTCCAGAAATGATTATGGCTTGGGTTAAGTCTCTGTTTCATATGCTTTCTTCTGACTTCCTAGTGACATTGTGAACTCTTTAAGGAAAAGGGTTTAGGTCTCAGAACTCAGTGCTACTCAATTATAGCTTATTCTGAACAGTACTCAGAACAGTGTCAGCTACAGTGCAGGATTGATTTATTTTGTGGGGCCGTACTGGGGTTTGAACTCAGGGCCTCATGTTTGCTAGTGAGGTACTCTACCATTTGAGCCACTCTGCCAGCCCTACAATTTGGTATTTCATAATAAACTTTTTGGGTGGAGGCTCAGATAATGAGCATCTCAGATTCAGAAATGGTCTTGCTGTGTTTTTTGGTAATGATAACATTAATAAGATAGTTTCCAAATGACATGGTGTAATGGAATCTGAAAGGTCTGAGTTTGAATGCCAGCTCTGTCACTTATTAACTATGTGACCCTGGGCAGGACACTGAGAATGAAAGTTTCCTCGGTGCAAAAGAAAAATGACCATGGGGCCTCAGAGTGGTTGTAAGGGTTAGGCTACACACCAAAAGTAAGTGGTCTAGTACAGCAAATGGCTAGAATAGGCATTCAATAAATGTTTGTATTAAAGAAAAATTTAAATCTCTATTATGTTTGGATTCATTGGTTTTCTATTTTCTCCTTTACGTGGAGCAGAAAGATTTCAAATTTTCTTTAAACTTTTAGGAGGTTAGATATTTTCTGATGATGAGAAGTTGGTGGATACCTTTTTTTTGGTAATTATCCAGATTATAAAAATAGTAAGTCTAATTATTCCTTGCTTTGACGTGGGAATCAGGAAAAGGGTGAAGAAGGAAGGCAGAGAGAGAGAGAGAGAGAGAGAGCATTTAGATGACTGGTAGAACCTTTCATTTAGCACCCATGGCGCTCTTGTGCTAAGGAGGACCCAGACCCATCTAAGGATCCCCACCTTGGGTAGACAGTGTTCCCAAGTGAGGTTGTAAGCTTTGGTGGCAGAGCAATGGTGACCAGCTGGAATTTGCTACAGGATGGGTATGGCTGAAAGGAGACACTGTGAATTAATTAATCAAGTCTGAACTTTATTTCACCCAGTAACAGAGTGACAAAAAGGCATTCTTCTCTACTTAAGTTTTATCCCAGGTTTCTTCATGTCCTTCTGCTCAAAGCTTCTGGCAGAGGTTGTTGCCAGGCATGAAGATTCTGCCCATGCTCAAGAGACCTCACTCTCAGACGCTGGCTCTTCCCCTGCCTTTTGGGGGTCGGCCCTTGTACTCGCAGGACCGTAGGTGTTTCTGTAAGTATAGTAAAACTCCATTAATTATTGGATGCTACAGTTCAATTTTTTTCAAAAGTGATGCAGCCAGTTGACAAGGTAAACTTTTTCCTGATATCATTGGTTCTTTGTTTAAAACTGCAAACAACATGTGAAATGAAATAAAAACTCAGCACTCAAATGCAGGCAATAAATTGAAATAGCAGGAACCTATGCATCCACAGGCAGGTGTAGCTGTTTAAAGCTGTATCTTGTTTCTGTAGGCAAAAGTATAGCATAAGCTATAAAATGTATGTGTTCCTTATAGTATAAATCATATTCTCTTTCATAAAAATAGATGGTTTTCAATGTCATAACAAAAAATATGATGTAATTTAAAAGTGAAACTAAGAGGAGTTGCCTCAAAATTTCTGAGCAAAGTTTTCATCACATTTTCATGATATTCTGATGTTAATTTTTTTAAATGCCTTATCAAGCCTGCTTTTATTATTACTTCCTTTTGTTTTCATCCCTATCATTAAACTCAGAGCTTCTGAAAGCTAAGGATTACTCACTCTCGCCTTAGGAAAAAATAAACAGAAAACTCCTGTTTGAAAGCCTTGTTGCCAAGAGTAGTTAATGAGTAAATAGAAATTATCAACTCGTGAGAAACAATCACACCCAGAAAAGGAATTCTCAGAACAGCTTGGTCAAGTGGGAGTACGTATTTGATATAACTAGCCCATCTTGAAAACAGAAGTCAATTAATTACTTTTCTCTTTTCTTCCCTTTGGCCAACCCTTATTTCTTTCTTGTTATCCCTTTTTGACATCTGGAATCTTTTACTAACATTTTAAGCCCATTAATAAATTCAGTATCCAGTCTCTTGACTTCACTTATTTTCACACATGCGTAGGGACCACATACCACAGTTTATTCAGAATGGCAAGAATCTCTATGAAAATTGATAATATACATTGGAAGGTACACATTCCTCATCAGAGAAGCAAATTGCAGTAGGTCGTAAGGCACATTAAATTTGTTTGTCCATTTCCTATACTAGTTCAGAAAACTTGTGAGGAAGACTCAGAAAGGATTTAAAACTCTGGCACACAGTTTTAGGTAGTCATAGAGATTGATGGTGTCCCCATGGGGAGGCTGACCACTTCTCTCTAGGCTGTTCTGAAACTTCATGGTTTTTGGTGCCTTGTATCAGGATATTTGTGTTTGGACAATGAAGAGAGGGATTGATAAAGTAGTAAAGAAACACCCATGACTGCATAAGTTAAGAAAAAGCATCAGAGAGATCGAAATCATGAAATTCTTTCACTTCCATGGTTGGATTATTTCCACTAATTGGCTTCCAGGGGCGTCCAGGACATTTGGGGGAGGTTGTTTCTGGAAAATCAGATATCAGCTTAAATGAAAGACTATCAGGTTCTATGTGGATATCAGGGATCCAATCATCATCATTTTCTGTGGGAGCTGATGTGGGAGGCATCCCAGCTTCAAGGAGATCTGAGTCCTGAAAGCCAAGAAAGGTAACTGCTACATCTGGCTGGGCTAGGAAAGGACTGGTTGTTGTCCCTCCTGTCTTCTCTTGTGCATGTGTAGGAGATGTGGTACTATCTTCGGAAGAGCTTGCCAAATGCTGTGTTCTCCAGTCATTGTGCTTTTCATGCTCTTTTTCTTTATTTTTATGATTTCCATGGCCATAACCATGTTTATGCTTATGTTTGAGTCCATGGGCTAGGTCATGCCCCATTTGATGTCCATGGTCAGGGCCATGTCTGCTTTGGAGTTTAACATTATTGTAATCAAATTCAGGCTGATGTCCATGACCAAGGCCATGATGTTGGTGACCGTGGCCAAGGCCATGTTTTTCTTTCTGTCCATGGCCAAGACCATGCCCCTTTTGGTGCCAATGACCTTGGCCATGCTCATCTCTATGCCCATGGCCAACACCATGTTTTATTTGCTTTTCATGCCCACGAATGGGTCCTTGGTCTTTTTCTGCATCCTGCTCTTCATCTTGTACAGGTACCATGGAAGTGTAGGGTGGACTTACAGTTGTTTCTTTTCCTGTTTCCTTTACTTGTACTGTTCGGAAAGGTGAAAAACCTGGAGGCCTTTTCATCATTGAAATCTAAACAGGAAATATTAAGATGAATGCATTACTGTGAACACCACACTATCAATGAAGAAATTAGAGACTGAGATCTGCCATCACTATCGTGCTTTGCAATGGGGCATGTATTTGCCAGATTTTAAATACTTATATTAATCTTCTAGAAAAGATGGAAAAATATTTTTTTTCTTTTTTGAGCTTAACGTTTGTGGGCATTGATTGTTGTCCTTAATTATGCTCTAAGATAAACTTGGAGAGTTTTCTGTTCATTTGGAAAAACTGAGTGTTTGAACTTCCTAATATGGATATATCCTAAGCCTGGGATTATGTAAGGCCATGCACACTATTTATTAATGGATAATACTTCTATTACCACTGTCCCATTACTACTTTTATCCTAAAAGTGGCATTACAAACTGAATATATAGGGGGTATATACTCAGGGTCACTTTGTTGGGTGGAAACACATTAAGATGCATGTAATGTTGTATTAGACATACACATACACATGACAAGATCCTAAACCAGAAAAGGGGAGAAGAGGCAAGTTACACTAACAATTTGGATTTGTGGGTTATTTCCACTATACTGCCTATAAGAATGTGATGGTTGAAGGTGGTGGTCAGAGGTGAAAGAATATGGACTTTGGAGGCAAGTAATCAGCATCATGATGAAAAAGGTAGGTTCTGATTTGAACTACACTTGATTCTAAGTACCACTAGCTTTACTCTTCTGTAAAAAAGGAGTATTAACAGTACCCACCTCACAGGGTTCTAAGGAGGAAGAAAGGAAAATGTGAATGAAGCTTTCTGTGCAGTGCTTGGGACACCAGAAGTACTTAATAATGTTATTATTCACTCTGGGACCTCAGAGCCTTTCTAATTTTTGTGTCTCATCTTTGACAATAGAGAAAGTGCTACTTACCTCCTGGGGTTCTTTTAAGACTTAAAGAGATGGTGCAAAGTAATGCCTTTCAGATTTGAATCATGTGTATGAATCACTTGGGGATCTTTTTTAAATGCAGATTCTGATTCAGAAGTGTGGATGAGTGTGAGTCTGCATTTTTCACAAAGCTGCCAGGATGTGCAGAGCAGTGAAGTACTGTATGCATCTCAGACACAATTGAAGTGAATGGACACTGTTAGTGCCTCACACCAGGGACTGCACCTCACCACCAGCTCACAGTGTCAGGGGACACTGACATTGTGGGAGAAGTGTCAAGAGGATTGGTGCGGCTTTCCTTCCTAACCATAAAAAGAAAGATCAGCACAGAAATACTAGATTTCTCTCCATTTAGAAAAGATCTCTAAGCTAGGCACTGGTGGCTCACACCTGCAATCCTAGCTACTAAAGAAGGCAGAGATCAGGAAGATCACAGTTCGAAGCCAGTCTGGGCAAATAGTTTGTGAGACCCTGTCATGAAATTACCCAACACAATAGAAGGCCTGGTGGAGTGGCTCAAGTAGTAGCACACCTTCCTGACAAGTGTAAGACCGAGTTCAAACCCCAGTACTGCCAAAAAATAAAAGATCCCCAATTCATTTTGGTGATGGTTCATTTTCAATCCCAAAATGCAGCTTTCAGAATGAGCAGAATTGACCCCAAAGTGACTGTAATTAGAATCATACCATTGTTAGTGGTTGACAGTTGACAGTAGAGGAAATTTGGTTCTCCCAAGGTACCACATAAACTTTAGCATTGCAATTCAGACTTCTCTAAAATGGAAAAATCAAAAGGGAGACTAGCGTTATAAACAAGTGATCCTTAAAAAACATCAAGTTGGTTTCCAGAGTAAAAGTAGACAGTTGCATTCGTACTCACACCAAGTTTTTTAGGCTCACAACTTTCAGTCAACTCCGTATTACTTTGCTTGGAACATTCAGTTTCCCTGGCCGTGAACTCGATAGTATATATTACCCCAGCCACCACCTGGAAAATTAATTTGCACAAAATAAGTACTTAATGAATACTTGTATAACAAATTGTACTTTTTGCTCCATTGGAATTTAAGGGAGAATCTTGAAATTATAACTATTATATCAAGCAACTTAGAGTTATTGCCCCTGTACCAATGTTTTATAACAAAACTTCCTATTTGTATGTACATTTAAAATATTTGACTGTTAATTGGTCCCACTTCCCTAAGGAAGAAAATCAGGCTATAATTTTTTTTTCCTGAATTTTATTGCTCACCAGCTGCAAATCAATGACTCAAGTTGTAACATGAGGAGTATGAACAAAAACTTAAACATTTTCTTTCAAACTTGCCTTGTTGAAATACTGAATTAGTACTAATGTAGGAATTATGTGGATTAAACTATGCAATTAAGAAAAATATTCATATTTTTATTGCTTCTCATACATATTTTAGCAGGTTTTTTTGTTTGTTTGATTTTGTATTTTTTATGGCACTGGGGTTTAAACTAAGGGCCTCGCACTTGGTAGACAGTCACTTTTACCATTTGAACCACTCCACCAGCCCCATATTTTAGTATTAAGAAACTATTTTAATCTCTAACAACAGCTTTAGTCACTGCATAATCCTGTCATCCAAGCATTTTGTAGGCCAGTTTCTTGACCAAATTATCTAGTATTTAGTTATAAGATTTAGAAATATGTGTGTTCATAATATTATGTAGCCATTAGAAAGAATGCATGAGCCTGGAAGTGAGGGGAGGGAGAGGGAGGGGGTAGAGGACAGGCAGGAGAAGTGGTCCAAACATATATGCACATCTGAATAAAAAAAGGAATGCATGACATGTATATCCACTCACCTGGAGAGAGAACCATTATTAAAAAAAAGGAAGTCACAGGGTTATCATATAATGTCATTTGTGCAAAAGCAAACTACAGTCTTCTCTATCTTTATGCTTTGTAAAAGCATGGAGAACGTGATATGAGGAAGATGTGGACAGGAGAGTCATAGGAAGAATTAAATTCCTGTTCTAACTTTCTGGCATTGTTTTACCAAGTAATATGGTTAAATTTTTTAAATACATAAAACATTAACTTAAAAAAATAAGTATATGTGGAAATTGGGAAGAAAGATTCCAAGAGGGTTTTAGAGTCTACACTTTCAGACTCATAAATTCTCTTACCTCAGAGTGAACCTAAATTCAATCTTGTTTTCCCCTTTGGACTTTAAAGTTGATCAACATAATGCCGCCTAAGAAAGCTGACAAGATGTAATACAAACCACAGCTGATGACTCAACTCTGTACAAGGCCAGAGGGGAGAAACTCAGTACACCCAATAGTTCTGTTCTAGGGGCTCGGGATCCAAACAACACAGCCATCACCATCAAATGCCATTTTCATCAGAAGTCTTCCCAGCTTAAACCCAAGTTTTAATTTTTTTTTTACATAAAGAACACTATACAGCAATTAAACTTCAAATGAATTTAAAAATTAAAGAAAATAACTAGAAAAATATAAATATTCATCAGAACTCAGGAAGAGGAAGGCCTTTCTTAGGTGAAAAATAGGGATGGAAAACTGAAGCAAGAGGAAAATGTTTAAATTTGACTAGATAAAAATGAAAACTGATTCTCAAAAAACAATCACAAAGTAAAAAAGGCAAACTTGGAAAACTGAGATCCAGGATCAATATTCTTACACATATAAAGCCCAACACTAAAAAATTGACAAAAGACCCAAGCAGGTATTTCAGACAAGAAATTAAAATGGGCATTGAGCCTGAAAAAAAAATGTTTAAGCAGTGCAACATCACTTTTAATCTTCCATGTCAGCAAGGATGAAAAATATCAACCATACCTGGTGTTGGTGAGGTGTGGGAAACACTGCTGATGAAAATGCAATTCAAATCAACATCCACAACCAGTGTCTCCTATTGTTGTGAATGTAAATTGCATTATTGCAAGTAGTTTGGTGACTTGGCAATTTGCATCAAAAGTTTCATATACATATAAATTCTTTGACATTGCTAGGGCTTCTGTTGAAGGAAAAATTCCCCAAAATGTATGTGCAGATTTTGGACATTTATTTTTTAGGGTAGGAGGCCGGCCACCTCCTGAGAGGACAAAGGACACTCGAGACAAAGGTAGTCACAAGACGAGGTTTATTTCTACCAGGCTAGGGTCCGAGCATCGGCCTGATGCAGCAGGTTTCAACAAGGACCCTGAGAGAAAAGTTTAAGCAGATCTTAGACTCTTTAAAGCATCAATCATCGTCACATAGGAATTCCTCATGCCCCTGGGGTCACATTTTCCTGATCTTGCCCACATCCTGATCTTGCCCACATCCTGGTGGTGGGGTAATATTGTTTATTGGGAACTGGGGAAACACCAGAGGCTTACTTATCAGGTTACAAGGAATGTGTTTTCCCATAAATTAGGGGCTAATAGTGGAATAGAAACCTAAGGTTTAGAGAAGAACAGCAGGGAGTCCTGCTTTGGAAAGTTTATTTACAAATGGAGACAAAGAAAGGTAGGAATGGGTGATTATCTCTGCATGGTGCCTTTCATCTCCATCCCGAACTTTTGCATGGCTCTAATGAGCAATTCCTCACAGCTCTGTCCTAGGTTACAGCTTTTAATTGACAGTTTACCATGTTTTACAACCCTGTTTCAAGGCTATCTTTCTCTTCACGAGGTTACCCAAGGGTCATGCCTGTTATAGCTGATTTCTAGGCTAGGTGGGCTGCAAGTTAAAGTACCCCAACATATTCAGTGGGGGCAGGGCAAAATAAATAACGTGTCAGAAATCTCACTCACTAACATGAAGACGGAAGATTTAGGAAGTGTTTGGTATCTGAAATATCAATTCAAGTTGGAATGGCTGTGCATCCAAACAGGACTAAACATGCAAAGCCAAGGTGAAACTGAACTATAAAATAAGTCTTTAGCAACTTGGTATACAAGACATTAGGAGATGGTTTTTAGCAAATTCACCATATGGTCAATTGACTTCCTGTAAATTGGCAGCTTCTACCCAGGCTGCCTGGAGTGACCATGTCTAAGTAGTCAAATGGCTCTTTTCAAATGCAAAATCAATAAAGATTCATCAGTTTCAAGTTGAAATTGTCCCATATGCAGATGGATTTGATAACTAACTGAAAGGAGGTGAGCCTTGGGTTCACAGCGTTACCTCTTGGAGTTCCCCAGGTAACCTTAATATCCACACACACACACACACACACACACACACACACACACACACACACTAGAATGTTGATTAGTTAATTTACAGACAGAACCAACTGTAACTGCTCAGAAGACTAAATATGCATGCTTGAGAATGAGTGGTTCTGTTCTGGATGATAAACCTCTGACATGCACACGAGTCCCACAAAATTAAGAATAAGGGAATTTCATTGCAATGCAAAAATGTCAACTGAGAATTAAGCTGGCAACAAGAATAGCATGGATTGGAATCCCCTTCAAGTAAGCCTAGCACGGACCTCATGGCAGTAAAAACAGGAAAGAGTGCCTGAGTCACAGAGAGGTCAAAATGTTAGTTGTGATTTATTTTAATAAGCTTGTTTACTGCTTTTGGTTATACAACTAACCCAAGAAATTTAGAAAGATGAAAATAAATGTCTACTGTGTCACCACTTCAAAGCCATCACTGTGAATAGCTACAGGCATTCATCCCTTTTCAGTATTGCTTTCTGTACTTTTTCTATAACATAATTGAGAACATAATGTATATTCAATTTAATGGCCCCTTTTAACTGAATACAGTAATATAAGACATTTCCTACATGAACCCCATCTTACAAAGATTATTTCTTTTTTTTTTTTTTTGACAGCACTGGGGTTTGAACTCAGGGCCTCATTCTTGCTAGGTAGGCGCTGTTACCACTTGAACCACTCTGCCAGGTCCAAAGATACTTTCAAATTGCTGCTTAACACTCCAACATAAGGATATGCCAGACATTAGCTAGTCATTCCCATATTATTGATCATTTTGACAGTTTTCCATTTTTTGCTGTTATAATCAAAACTGCAGTGAATATCATTGCATACACTCTGATTTTAGATTCCTAGAAATCCAATTACTGAGCCAAAAGTATGTATTTCTAAGTGAGAATGTCCTCACCAGATTAAGAACATTGTGTTGGTTTACTCTAACAATTTGGTTCTATTTCAATTGCTTTTCTTTAGCTTGTATTTAGGGAGTCAGTGTTAATCTCTAGGGTAGGAATTTATCCCTGAACATATTGGTCATAGATGTCAGAGTTGGTAGGTAATTGGGCTCTTCTAACCCAGCCACTTCTGTTGCAGATGGGGCCACAAAGGCTGAGTGGCTTAAATGACCATGGGGGGTGGGGAAGGGTCACCAAGGACCCCTCCATGCAGATGAGGGCACTCCTTATCCTCTATTGACAGAGCATGAAAGGTGAGCTGAATCCCCAGAAGTACATTTGGAAGAAGAAAGGGCACCCTGGACAGAGAGAATAGAGTGAGAAAGGACATGGAGGTAAGAGAGTGTGGAGAGGCCAGTCAGCCACCAGTGACCAAAGCACTAAATGTTCTACTGAGAGATGAATCTGGAAAGGCATAGAGTAAAAGTCTTGTTTTTGCTAGCCCTGAGTCTTATTAATTATACTACTTGCTAGTACTTCTGTAATACTTCAGAGTTTGAAAAGTGATTTGAATTCATTTCCTTATTTGATCTTTGCCTTAGTCATTTTCAGAAAGAAAACAGAATGTTTTCAGAGACTTGTCTAAGATAACACAATAAGCCTACAATGCAAGTTGGGACATGGAATTCATGTCCACTAAGCCCCATTACCAAGTATACTGCTTCTCAATCCAGAGTCAGCCAGGAGCAAATCGGCAAGCAATTTGCCCAGAGACTCCAGCACCTTTTTTTATAGCATCATTGACAGACCTGTGATGTAGCTCTTTTCACAGTTTCAATCTTGAAGTAATAAGTTTCATTATTCTCTGCATTAAGCTTTCCAATGGAATGAGTAAGCGCCTCCTTCAACTGTGGGCTGTCTACAGGTATTTCTATGGGGCAGCCAACGCATGCCTTGGGAAATGGCAGTACAACATCCTCCCCTGGAAGAATCAGATTTCAAGTTAGCATGAGCACTGAAGGAGTAGTCTAGCCTAGCACTTATGCCTCGTGAGACCCCACATCCTAATTCACAGGGTGCCATGTGGTGGCCCAGGCCCAGTAGTAAGTGGGGGAATGTATGGTTTTCACTTCCTGCTTCTCTTCTTTCCTCTCCAAAGAGCTCAGAGTGTTTAGGGAAACATTCAAACAGAGGATGTTGACTCAATGGATATGCTATACTTTCCCTAAATTTTTTATGGAAACTGTGAAAACAATGGCTAAATTGAAGGAAGAACTCTCTACTGGAATAGTTTTAAGTTTTGTGGGGTAGACAACCAGATTCAGTAATGCTTCTCATTGTAGAACATACACAACTGTCTTTCAACCATAAGAAAAGTCAACACTTTTTGTAAGAATAACCTTCTAGAAGGCTGGTAGAGATCTCAAGTGACAGAACCCTTGCCTAGCAATTATGAGGCCCTGAGTTCCAAACCCCAATACTGCCAGTTGTCCCCACCAAAAGAAATACTGACTTGAGCATAAACTCACACTATCTCCTTTTCCCCATTATAACATGCAGGAAAAAAAAAAACACCTTTAATTGAAAGGATTTTATTCGGAGTGGTTGAAAATGAGATAGCTTTCTGTCCAACTCACAACACTAAATTTAAGAGCAATTTTTACATAGGGAGGACCTTTACACCTGAAGGGCAACTTCACCCAAAGAACACAGTTGTCCCTCTGTCACCAAATTCCCTGTGGCCACATGCAGAACAATGTCACCTTCAGCAGGTGCAGCACAACTGGGCAGGGAAAGGTACAGAAGTCTCGGAAGGGCCCATAGGTTGGTTAGGGTTTCTATCATGGGGACGAAAACACAGTTGATGTGAAAAGAGCCAGACATTATCTAGGGCCCATATTTCACTATGGGTGGTGGGATGTTACCTCGCACCTGGAAAAAGTTCGCACTGCTGAGTGAAGGCAGCAATACTTTGCTGAATATTCACGTATGCACTTCCTGTACATTCACCAGCATCCTGTGTTTTAAAAGCATAAATCAAAAATCAGTTTTGAGAATCTTCAATCAACTAGTAAATTCAAAAGATAGAGGATGTCTACTTTCCAAATCATTGCATTGGGAAAAATACGAAAGAAAACAGTTTTAATTGCAAAAGGCAAAAAATAAGAAACAGGTGACAGAATCAATAACAACAATAAACACACATACATACACAGAGAAAACATGAAATGACATGACAAGAATACCCAGCACAGAAATAATGACCATATAGATGAATGGGTAAAACTTTTCTTCCTTTCTTTTTTTCTTTTTTCTTTCTTTCTTTCTTTCTTTCTTTTTTTTCTTTCCTCTCTCTCTCTCTCTCTCTCTCTCTCTCTCTCTCTCTCTCTCTCTCTCTCTCTCTCT